TTCTCACTCACTCTAGGGAGTAAACTTAGCATATTATGTTATACTTTGCTATCTTTCACCTCACCCTTTTTCCCCCAAATTTAAAAGTAGTATGAGAAATTTAAAAATGAAATTAATATATTTTTAACATCCTCTTTAGTTTTTAAAGACCATTTGTTTCTACTTATGGAAGAGTTAGCCATGTTTAACTCCTCTTTGTTTCTGAGCCATTAGGACTTTATTTATTTATTTATTTTTAAAAGGTTTTTTTATTGGGGCGCCTGGGTGTCGGTTAAGCGGCTACCTTTGGCTCAGGTCATAATCCCAGGTCCTGGGATTGAGCCCCACATTGTTCTCCCTGCTCAGCGGGGAGCCTGATTCTCCCTCTTCCACAGCCCTTGCTTGTGAACTCTTTCTCTTTCACTGTCAAATAAATAAAAATCTTTAAAATTTTTATTTATTTACTTATTAGAGAGAGTGTAAAAGTTGGGGGATGGACAGAAGGAGAGGGAGAAGCAGACTGTCTGCTCAGCAGGGAGCCAGACTTGGGGCTGAATCCCAGGATCCTGGATCATGATCTGAGGCGAAGGCAGACGCTTAACTGACTGAGCCCACCAGGCGCCCCTTCCATTAGGACTTTAAATAGAGGGTACTCTAATCTTGCAATGTGACTTTTTTCCTCCCACTAGTACATGGTCTAGGGGGAATCCTAAAGGTCATATACGTCTGTGTTAGAAAGACAGGGAAAGTATATATAAGCTTAAGATTGAAAATGCCAACTTTCCTTTTTTACTAACTCCTGGGGTGATGCTCATTTCATAGGAAATGAGTATGAGGCCTGCAGATTCAGTTAGAGAGTTGGGACTAGAACCCAGGTCTCTAGATATCTAGCTCTGACATTCTTTCTGGGGCTAGGCCAGGTATAGAAATTTGAAAGATTATTCCTTACTTCTGGATCTCAGACTGTTTTGTAGTAGGTTTCGTCTCTTTTATCTGCAAGGCAGCCAGGGTGTTGATGCCTTGCCTCTTACGGCTGGAATCCTGATGGTGTGATTGCAGAGGCACTTAGGTGCCCAAATACTAAGTAAAAAGTGACTCAGTAATGGAAAAGAAGCCACCACTAAGTTAATTAATACCTTAATGTATGTTTAGGTAGAGTTGAGAGATTGGGCAGAAGTGACAGAGAAAATAAAATTTTAAGGCTTCAGGATGCATAAGCAGTGTACTAATTATTCCCACTTTCTCCATATTTTGTATATCTGTCACAGTCCAAATCCCACTGATTCACATGTGAACTTAGGAAGTAAGGGAGGAATGTGATTAAAAAGCTTGGCAATTTTGAATCACAGTGATTTTTCCAAATAGAGTATTTCCGGGGCACTTGCTCTCTACAATGAGCAGTATTCTTCCCTCCAGCGAATAGACCTCTACTTCAGTGAGGCTTGAATATACAGGGTGACCGTTCTAGCAAGCTGGGTAGAAAGCATTTCCACTGTATAGCACTTCAGTGAAGGGCCACTGGGGGTAAGCAGGGTAAGCAAGTGCTGCTATTTTCCCTTTGTGCTGGAAGTGCTTTGAAGAGTATGAGAACAGCTAGTTCAGCCACAGGACTTCAGACCACAGAGGACTAACCCACCTATTGAGGCTTGAAAATTCATTTTGCCTGCTGTCCCTTTTTGGGGACTTTCTTTGAAGACAAGTGCAGGCCCTGGTTGAATCTGCCCCAAACATGGAGTTTGCAGGACCAGAGAAGGAGGCGTCTGCACGTCTTTCCTGTGGTCCTTCAATGCTTCTTGCCCGTTTTGCACTGGGGGGCGCCATCAAGCGGCGCCAACGGGAACTGAAGCCGCCGTTGTGGAACCACTCCTGCCAAGCAGGGCTGTAAAACATGTTTGCTTTTTTGTGTGGGGGAGTGGTGGTGCTTTGGATCCAGAGTTACGGGGAAGCGATGAATGACAATAATAAGGTTGGAGATGTATCTGGCAGTTGGATCCTTAAGCTGCATTATATTTGCTGTCCTCTTAATCCAGCCTTCCCAGGGAGAGAAGTAGAAATGAATTTCAGATGTTTGTTCACTGGAGGAACTTTTTTTTTCTTTTTTTAAGATTTTATTTATTTATTTGACAGACAGAGATCACAAGTAGGCAGAGAGGCAGACAGAGAGAGAGGTGGAAGCAGGCTCCCCGCAGAGCAGAGAGCCCGATGTGGGGCTCGATCCCAGGACACCGGGACCATGACCTGAGCCGAAGGCAGAGGCTTTAACCCACTGAGCCACCCAGGTGCCCCTCACTGGAGGAACTTTTAACGCAGTCTTCCAAACAGCCCGAGGATTCCCTCACTTGAGGTAGTCGCAGTTGTTGTCTTGATTGCAGGAGAAAATGCTGATTCAGATGAATTTTAAAGTCAAGAAACATCAAATTGGCTACATCCAGGGTAGTGTGCCTGGTCCTGGGCCTACTAGGAGGTCTCTGCCCTCGAAGCCTTCCAGAATAGCTTGGGAAGCAAGCGTATGGGTGAAAGTTAACAACTGTGGCACCGACACCTGCTTTGGTGTGCTCCGGGGGTGCTGTGCAGGAAAGCTGGGGCTTGGCTTCAAGCGCCAGAAGACCTCACCAGGCAGTGAAGGCATCTGGGAGCCTGAGAAATGGGCCAGTGTGCACAGGACTTGGTCATAAGAGTGAGGGGGCCAGGGTGACTGAGATGGAGAGTTCTTTTCAGAAAATGGTGAGACGTCAGAATTGAGATAAGGATTAGATTGTGAAGATTTTAAATGACTTGACTTGTTACATTTCTGTAAGTAGGAATGGGCCAGAATAAGAGTAGAATATTTCATGGATGAATTAATTTTTTTTTAAGATTTTGTTTGTTTGAGTGAGGGTGGGAAAGGAGGGAAGGAAGGGGAGAGAGAGAGAGAGAGGGAGAGAGAACATGAATGGGGGAGGGGCAGAGGGAGAAGCAGATTCCCTGCTCAGTGCAGAGCCCTATGCAGGTCTCAGTCCCAGGACCCTGAGATCATGACTTGAGCTGAGGTCAGACCCTTAATCGACTGAGCCATGCAGGCGCCACTGGATGAATTAATTTTTGGATATATCTGTGAGGCAGTTTTAATGCTTCCTGCCCACTATCCCCATTTAGGAAATACTCAAGCTATTAATGTATGAATTGAAGGATTTTAGAAGGGTTCTTCTTTATATTTTTTTTCCTATTCTGGGCAATTTATAATTCTTTGAAAATTAAAAGTAATTTTTTCTGGAAGGAACACAATTTACAAGGAGACTTATTTTAATTACATTTAGTGTATTAATTTCAAAGGGAACAGCTGGCTCAGAAATTTTAGTAACTTTCAAGATCTAAAAGGGTGACAAACAACTTCTGTGATTTGAGGGTAACAGAGAAGAACACAAAATGAAACTAGAGTTAAGATTGTAGACAGAATGCATGTCCCGAGGTTCTGTGCACTTGCTAGAGATAGGTGGCAAAATTCTCTGCACCTTCTAGCCACCAAGTCAAAGAGGGAAATGAGCTGCGAGAGAGGAAGTCATTTTGGGTTGGGACTGAGCAGATAGGAACCCAGAACTGGTGTGTTAAGGGTGGTGGGAGAGGCATGGAATGCAAACTCCCAAAATAGTAAAATGATGTAGGCTGTTAGACGGTATCAGTGGCAATAAAATGGAACAGAAGGTAAGATGAAGAGAGCAGACAGGAGTGAGGGAGAGAGCCTTGAGGATATGTGAGGAACAGCAAATCAGACAAAGGAAATCCTTCTGAAAGGCCCTGACATGGAAGGCTTGTCTGGCACCTTCCAGGAGCAGCAGGAATGGCCAGTGTGGCCGGAGTAGAGTGACTGAGGTACAGAGCTGAGGAGATGGGGGTAAAGAGCGAGGGAGGGGGAGGGGGACCCACAGGCAGCAGCTATGAAGTTTACACTGACAGACGAAACTCAGCTACTCCCACCACGTAGTCTTTAGAAGAATGTTATTCTGTGCTTACTTACAAAGCTAATGAATTCTCTGAACATATCTCCTTAGCTAATGTGGTATCAAACATCGAACACGTTTGATAATGTCCCTCATTCTGGGTGGGTAGCAGAATACCAAAGTGCAGTTCAATACTAGTGATTTTCTAGGGACCTGAAACTACGCAGTTCCAATCGGCAATTCCATTATGCTCTGGCTTCATTTGAGAAGAAAATGTAAGAATACATAAAGCAGTGATTCTCTTTTGGGTCCCGTACTTCTTTGGGAAAATTAGGCTAGATCCCTCTCTTCCCCAGTGCATGCCTGCAGAATCCCACCAAATTTTGCATGTTATTAGATTCAGTTCACAAGTTCAGAGGGTTCACACACACACCCCCCCACTCATGCACCCCATCCCAACTCATCCATAAACTCTAAGCTGAACACCGTTGGTCTAGAGGGAAAAGAAACCTATGACAAGCAGACATAGTAAAAACCTGGAACCCAGGGTTGCTTGTGCTGATAGGACAGATTCATCTGTTTCAACAGGAAGCCAAATTGAGGATAAGATTGATTTCCATTTATGAAAGTTGATGAGCTTGTCGGGACATGTCTGAACAAAAGACATTTATTCCACTTTGGCAGGAATGTGGTCGGGAATGTGATTTTTCTTAGAGAGCTACTGACTCCACTGTAACACACTAAAAAAGGATCCCAGAGCTCCCTCCTATAGAGAAAGCTGTGGTAATTTTAGCCTGGAAAAATTGTAAGGCAGATGTTACCAAGAACCGTCTGCACAGCTTAAAAAAAAATGTGATATGTTGGTATTTTTGGTATTTGGTATTCTTGGTAAAGAGTTCATAGAATGTTTAGCTTTAAGCACTTATAGATTCTTGGTGAACCTAAAATGAAAATTCTTTTGTCATATAATCTTTGGAAGCTGAATGATTATTTGCTTTTGGGATTATTTATCTTTGAGCCAGCTCATGTTGAAAACCTATTATGTGTTTATCCAGTTATGTTGACCTAGTATTTTCCCTAATTGTAGTTTCTTTTGCATTGCAGTGTTTTAATCTTGGGTGCTTCCGGTGGAGTTGGTACTTTTGCTATACAGGTAAGACTGTTTTGTTTTTTAATCTTATGACTAGAAAGAGTATTTCCATGAGTTTATAAATTCACATATGAGAAATAATTTTTTCATGAAAAGTTCAGTAAATTCATTATAATTTCAGCTTGCTCTTCTAAGGAGGGAACTTCCTAACATAGAAGTAAGCATTAACCTTTCCAGTGGTTTAATATGTGAGTTAGTTTGTGGCTGTCCTCTCTAGCAAATGTAGGAAGTCTTTTAGGGAGGAAGGCTGGGGACAGTGCATGTGGATGGGAAGTTTGTAGTTTGGTAGAAATGAATAAGCTGATTCTAAAATGTATGTAGAAATGCAGTGGCCAAAATACTGTAAAGATAGCAGTGTTCCACCAAAATGATCTACAGATTCAGTGCAATCTTACCAAAATAAGAATTGCCCTTTTTGCACAAATGATCGAGCTGATCCTAAAATGCAGATGGAATTGAAGAAGACCCCAAATTGACAGTCTTTAAAAAGGGCAAAGTTGGAGGATGCACATTTCTTGATCTTAAAACTTAATACAAAGCTATAGTGGTCAGAACAATGTGATACTGGCATAAAGATAAACATATAGATCAATGAAGTGGAATTGAGCATCCAGAAATAAAAACCTGTATCTATGGCCAATTGATTTTTAACTAGGATGGCAAGACCATTAAATAGGGAAAAGAATAGTCTTTTTAATATAACTAATGGTGCTGAAATAACTAGATACCCACATCCAAAAGAATGAAGTTGGACCCCTACCTCACATCGTATGTGAAAAATAACCCTGGGTCAAAGACCTAAATATAAGAGCTAAAACAATCAAACTTTTAGACAAAAACAAGAGTAAATCTTCATGACCTTGGATTTGGCAACAGATTTTTAGGTATGACATCAAAAGCACAAGCAACAGAAGAAAAAAACCAGATAAATTGGACTTTATCAAAATTAAAAGCTGCTGTGCATCAAAAGGACACCATCAAGAAAGGAGAAAGATGACCTACAGGGATCAAATCTTTGCAAATCATTTCTCTAATAAGGGTCTAACATCCAGAATAGGTAAGAATTCTTACAACTCAACAAAAGACAACCCAATTAAAAATTTAGGAAAGCACTTGAATAGACTACCTCCCCAAGAAAATGTACAAATGGCCAATAAGCCCACAGAAAGGTATTCAGTGTCATTAGTCATTAGGGAAATGCAAATCGAAACCTTGGTGGACTCTCCCTTCACACCTACTAGGAGGGCTATTAAAAAAAAAATTAAAAAAGGAAAATAATGTTGACCAGGAGGTAGAGAAACAGAAACTCTCATCCACACTGGTGGGAATGTAAAATGCTGCAGCTGCTACGGAAAACAGTTGAGCGGTTCCTGAAAATGTCAAACATAGTATTACCATATGACTTGGCAGTTCCATTTGTAGGTATATACCTGAGAGAAAACCTGTTCAGACAGAAACTGGTCCACAGATGTTCATAGTGATACCCGTATTCCTGGCAGCCAGAGAGTACAGGCAGCCCAATGCCTGTCAGCTGATGAATGAACAAAATGTGGTTTACGCATTAGTGAAATCATACTCAGCCATGAAAAAGAATGAAGTTATGCATGATTCAACACTGAGAAACCTGCAAAACATTATGCTTAGTGGAAGAATCCAGACACAGAAGGTCACCTTTTGTAGGATTCCATTTATATCCTCTCTGGAGGAAGATCTGTAGAGACAGAAAGCAGATGAGTGGTTGCCAGGAGCTGGGGGAGAAAGAAAGAGGGGATGGCTGCTTAATGGGCATGGGGTTTATTTTTAAGCTGAGGAAAATGTTCTAGAATTAGACAGTGGTGGTGGTTATACAACATGGTGATGTACATAATGAGTTGTACACTTTAAAATTGCTGAAGTGTTGAATTTTAAGTTTTTATATGAATTTTATAAAATTTTATATGAATTCTCAAACAAGAAAACAAAACAGTGCCCTGAGCTTCCAGGAACAGGACGGCACCGTTATGGTCAAATATTTCACTGATTTCCTGGGAAGAGGGCTTGATTAAGCCTCCCTCAATATGCAGGGAGAGGCCCTTTCTGCAGCCTGGTGACCATACTCAGAAGCTCTGCCACATCACTTTCCAGAAGAGAGACTTTGGGTGCTATGATCTCTCACCCAGACCCCACATCAGCTCTTTTGAAGATCCAGATAGTGCTGGAGTTTTCCAGCCACCTGCTAACTAAATTAGGGGTAAAGGGATAGGACTCCTAGGGGATGCATGCACACCTTGACTTCTTTTTAATTCCTTATTAGATACTGCTCTGGTCTAAATGTTTGTGACCCTGCTGAATTCCTATGTTGAAGTCCTGATGCTCAATGTGGTAGTAGAGAGCAGGGCCTTTGGGAGATGAAAATGCCCAAAAAGAGGTTCAGCAGAGCTCCATAGCCTTTCCACCATGTTGAGGACACACAAGGCACTGGCTATGTGTGTGTGTGTGTGTGTGTGCTAGGAAGAGGGCTTTCAACAGGATGGGACCATGCTGATGCCTTAATCTCAGACTTCCAGCCTCTATAACTGAGAAATACATTTCTACTTATAAGCTACCTAGTCTGTGGTATTTTATTAGAGCAGCCCAGACTAAGACACCCAGGCCTAGTCCAGAGACTGAGCAAATGTAGTTTAGTGAATAACTAAATGGAAGAAAAGAAAAAGAGGGAGAGTGGGAGGAAAAGAGAAATACCAAATACTGTTGGTTAGAGTGTAAATTGGTACAAGCACTTAGGGAAATCATTTAGTATCATTTACTAAATCTGAATATGAATTGCCCTAGGGCAACCCAACAATTCCACTTTTATGAATATACCCTACAATGATTTGTACAGTTAACATGCATGTTCACCAAAAGATATATACCAGATTTAGAGATCTCGTCCACCAGAGGAAACAACTCAAATGTTTATCAACAGTGAAATGGACAGGTAAACTGTGGTCTATCTTACGCTGGAATATTACACAGTCATGAAAACTATAGTTGTACACAGTGAGGTATGTGAATCTCATGAGCAGAATATTAGTGAAAGAAGTCACACAGCCTATATGATTCTATTTAATGACATTCAAGAACAGGTGAAACTAAACGATAGGGTTTAAAGATGCCTACCTAGGGAGTAAAACTCTTTAAAAAGTGGGGGAACAGCAAAAAGGGGCATGCAATAGTCCAGATGGTGGTATTACTTCTAAAGGAATGAGGGAACTATGATTGGGAAGGGGAAAGCAAGTATGCTTAGGAGTGTGGCGTGTGGTCTAGTTCCTAATCTAGAGCGATGCTTAGAATACGGTTTGCTTTGTAATAACATTTATATTCCATGCACTGTTCCGTGTGTGTTAAATTTCACGACAAAAATATTTTAATACAGTAAAAACAGAAATAGGAAAGTATCAAGGTTATATCTAACACAAAGTTATTAGGGGCGCCTGGGTGGCTCAGTGGGTTAAAGCCTCTGCCTTCGGCTCAGGTCATGATCCCAGGGTCCTGGGATCGAGCCCCACATCGGGCTCTCTGCTCGGCAGGGAACCTGCTTCCTCCTCTCTCTCTCTGCCTGTCTCGCTGCCTACCTGTGATCTCTATCTGTCAAATAAATAAATAAAAATCTTAAAAAAAAAAAAAAAAAAGAAAGACATATCTAGAGATTACAGCACGTCAGAAAACATGCCCACAAGACAGATCACATGTAACTCACAATTTTTAATTGTTTTTTTAAGTTGGCTCTATGCCCAGTGTGGGTTTTGAACTCACAACCCTGAGATTAAGAGTTGCATCCTTTACTGTGCCAGCCAGGCACCCACAAATGTAACCTACAATTTCAAAACAACTTAAAAAATTAAAAGTATACAAGACTTTTAGAAAATCTTAGGGGGGTAAAAGTAAAACAAATAGAAAATAAAACATAGAAAGTAAAACAAATTAAAAATCTTAGGGGGAGGTAAAAGTAAACAAAAATATTTAGCGGTGAAGACTAAACCAGAAGGAATTCAATAGCAAATTAACAGGATACATAATGCTGCCCTAAATAGAAATATATGTATAAATAGGAAAAATTTTTAATTACAAAAGAAACCAAGAAAAAACCAATTCAAGAGGAAGTGCCAAATATTGAAGTTAGGAAAGAAGGTTGATGTATGGGTAGTAGGCTCTGAAGAGGAAAACCAAAACAAGGGAATAGAATAAACACTAAAATCTATAATTCAAGAAAATTCCCTATCTTCCTGAAATTAAATGATTTGAAACTACATATTAGGTGATCCCACCCATCTAAGAACATGGACCTAGATAGAGCAATATCAAGGAAAACCCTAGTTAGTAAAATTAACTGGCTTTCAAAGAAAAGGAAAAAGGGGCTCCTCGGTGGCTCAGTTGGTTGAGTATCTCTGCTTAGGTTTGGATCTCAGGGTTGTGAGATTGAGTCCCATATTGGGCTCTACACAGGACGTGGAGCCTACTTAAAAAAGAAAGAAAAAAAAATCCTTGGGACACCTTTAAAAAAAAAAAAATCGTGTGACTTAGAAGTAAAATTAGATTAGCATCAGACTTTTTGACTGCAGTGCTGTAAGGCTAGGAGAGGAAACGGAGTAACCTATTTAAGATGCTCAAGCAAGAGTATAACTAAGACTATATTAATTTTATATATGTAACAAAACTGGTGCACTGTTAATAACTTGTGAGAACTCGGGGAATATGTTCTCCTTTTCTGAGAAACGTACTAGAGCTGACAACCAAAATGACTGGAGAGAGATCACATTAAGGGCTGGTGGTAAATGTTAAATGTAAATTTTTCTATAGAACTAAAACCAAGGACTTAAAGTACATTGTGTAACAGCCTATCCTCTGACGAGGTTAAATACAGCACAACTATTTATTAAAAGCAGAGGAAAACTGGGAGAGCATGTATTAAAATTCTAATGCTTTCATTAATCTGCTCCATTGTATTAATAGTAATAATGATGTTAGTATTATGTAGAGGATATTCTGTGTGTTATATACAATAGGACAGATGGATATTTATAGCATATTTTAATTCTGTCATCCCCTGTGTCTCTGACAGGATTTTAGGTGTGGAAGGAAAGAGATACAGAGGTAATAGAAAAGAAGTCAAGGAAAAACTTTGTAGTCTTAAATTTGAATTGGAAGTATCAATATGAACTCGAGATACTCTGTGTAGAGCTATCTCTTGATAGATCATTGCTCACTAAAAGAATGCAGGACTTCTTGGAGAAATGGCAGATTCTAGATCTAGGGCACAAAATGTACAAGAATGAGCCTAGAATACATTAAATAGGAAGAAAACTATCAAAGACTAACTTGAGTCATATCGGAGAGACTTAGGAGCCAACTTGAAGAAACTCTCAAAGATGTGACAATTTGAGCTTCAGTAGTAGTAATACAAAGGACTAAAGCCCTTCAAATACATTTAAATCCATGAGTTCATATTTTTTTTTAAAAAAGGTCACTTTTGGGGACACCTGGATGGCTCAGTCAGTTAAGCATCTGCCTTTGGCTCAGATCATGATCCCAGCATGTTGGGATCGAGTCCCACATTGGGCTCTTTGCTCAGCGTAGAGCCTACTTCTCCCTATGTCCCTCCTTCCACTCATGCGCTTTCTCTGAAAAATAAATAAAAACCTAAAAAAAAAAAGAGTCACTTTTGGAAAATGATAGGGAACCAATTTATGTTATTAATTGGTAAAGGGAAACAGTTATTCATCTTGCCTTTCCTATGTGAATTGTACACCTGAATAAGCAAAATAATGTATGAGGAGAGTTTTTATAAAAATATTGAGAAAATACTTTTTTTAAAAAAATTAGACTATCGCTGTTTTGCAACCACCGTTAAACAGCTGCTAAGATCTTAAGAGCAGTGACCAGACTTTACATGCCCCCCTGCGATTTTGCTGGACCATATCCATAGTCTTGTAAAAAAATTGAAACAGAAAACACAGGGAACAAAGCAACCTGTGGAATTGCCCCCTGAGTGTGCAATTGGAAATCCCAGACTCGGGGAAACTCTCCGTGGCCTGGATTCTTCCACAATGAAATTATAGGAAAGTAGAGGGCTAGAAGAGGAGCATACCGTTTAAAGAGAGACTTAAAAGACCTCTTATTTTTATTCTTGGTGAATCAAAGTCTGATCGTTTTTACTAGGTCTGACAGGTGGCTTGCTGTAGTTCTTGTTAAGACGAAGCACTTGGGGTTCTCTAGAGATGAGTCTGAAAAACGTACACATGGGTGCCAGCTATTTTTTTAAAACACATGGTCGGTTTTTCTACCCCCCTCCCTTTTTTTTGGACAGGTAATGAAAGCATGGGGTGCTCACGTGACAGCAGTTTGCTCTCAGGATGCCAGTGAACTTGTAAGGAAGCTCGGGGCAGATGATGTAATTGATTACAAATCCGGAAATGTGGAAGAGCAGTTGAAGTCTTTAAAACCGTATGTATTAGGACAATGTTCACCTTGGGAAGTGGGAACAAGGACAGTTGATCATGCAGACCTGAACGGTTTCATGATTTTGTAATCACGTCGGGATCTTAGAATCAATAAAAATACCCCCAAAAAAGAGTCATTTGGGGTGGTTTCCGTTTGAATTCCAGATGTTCATATAGCACTGTGACATGATGTGGTATGTCCTGAGGAAACTATGTTGCTTGCATGGTCTTTTGTTAATTTCTAAGTTAACTTACTGTTTACCTGAAGACAGAACTGGAAGTTGTGTTCCGTTCGGTGGCATCTCTCACCACAGGAGCAAATAGAGAGTAGTGCGTGAGAATACTTGATTAGCACTGAACATTTTTCTGTCCATGTTTGGGCTTAACAAGGGCATCAGAGAAACCAAGGCAGTAGAAATACTGGTAATCAGAGTCCTGTGGATGTTCTCAGTGCATCCGAATGCCCGGCTGTGGTTTGGTTTGTACCAAACAGGAGCAGACTCTGTGATTCAGATTCTGTTGCTCCTGACTGTGCTTTGGGCAGAACTAGGGAGGGTGCTTGTTAATCTTGTCTTCGTCTAGCCAGGATCGCACTGTGGCTGAGAACACAACTGAGCAGTGTTTGGAAAGATGTTTGATTGCTGCTTTTTCAACGGTTTTCCCCCTTTCTCTGTTCGTTTTCAGAAGGCAGTTATTCTTGTCCACTTTGAGTAGAAGCTTACAGTTGACCCATGAACAGCATGGGGGTTAGAGACACTGACCGCCACATAGGTGAAAATCTGCATATAACTTTTGACTTTCCTAAAACTTAATTATTAAATTAAGTGTTAAATTAACCAGAAGCCTTACCAATAACATAATCAGTCAATTAACACATATTTTATATACCATATATATATTCTATACTGCATTGTTAGAATAAAGTAAGCTAGAGAAAAGGTTACTAAGAAAATCATAAGGAAGAGAAAATACATTTACAATATGTGTTGTATTTATTGAAATTTATTGAAAAAAAATCTGGGTATAAGTGGTCCTGTGCAGTTCGAACCTGTTAATGGGTCAGTGGTATTTTCATGGGTTTAAAAAAAAGAGAGAAAACCAAGGGGAGCCCCCACTGAACACTACCTAGCCTTTCTTAGCCAGCAGTACCCACTCCCAACAGTGGGATGGCTGTGCAGCCCCGAGGAGCCAGCAAATCCCGGTTCCTTCAGCTCCGCAGCCCCTTCAGCTCTGCCAGGCAGGCTCCAGACATGCCGTACAGCTGCGGTGCTGAACAAGACAGGACACCGCCCCCCGACCCCCCACCAGCCCTTCCATGGGGCTTCCGTTCCATGGGGAGGTGTCAGTGGTAAGTGCTCCCAAGGACACTGATAGAGGGAAAAGAGTGAAAAAAACGATTGGGGGAGGATGTTTGAAAAAGAGGAGTTTAAGGGGCACCTGGGTGGCTCAGTTGAGCATCTGCCTTGGGCTCAGGTGATGATCCCAGGGTCCTGGGATTGAGTCCCGCACTGGGCTCCTGGCTCAGCGGGAGCCTGCTTCTTCCTCTGCCTGCCCTTCTCTCTCTTTCTCTCTCTGACAAATAAATAAATAAAATCCTTAAAAAGAGGGGGGGGGCGTTTAAGAAGGCCTCTGGGGCATTGGAGCAGAAGGTTTGCAGAGCAAGCCAGGAGAATGGGATTTTTTCGGGGGGGAGTCCCCTAATGTATCTGTCCACCTGTAACAGTGTAGTAACATATTCTGGGTGCTCAGTAAACATTTGTTCAATGCATGATTGAGGGAATCTAGGAGAAGAGCACTTGTTCAGGTCGAGATAACAGCAAATACAAAGCCCCTGTGGCAGGACACGGAGGGACTGAGGAATCCCCCTGTCCCTTGCAGAGATGTCAGCTACTTCCTGCCTGTGCATCAGGACCCCATCTCTCCGGGCCTCTGCCAGCTGCCTTCTAGAGTGGAGTTTCAGTTCATCTCCTGTCTTCTGCGGCTTCTAGGAATAGCAGCATGAGACTGAGGTGGAGGCCAACCCATTCCCCTCTATGTACTTTAAGTTGTATGTGTGTCTAGAATTTGTCCCCAGAGAACGGAGACCCTGACTGGTGGAAATCGGATGCATACTTGGGCTGGCCCCCAGAAGTAGGCTCTGGTCTGCCCCTCTGCCTCTCTCGCCATGGTCTTGCTGCTTTTGCTCGCTGTTCTGGTAGGGGAATCTCTCTAGCTCGCAGATGCCAGGCTGTTACTTTTACCTGTTTTTGACCACTTTGGTTACAGTTGACGTTTGTAACCTTTGTCTGAAGTTTGGCCTCTGAGTCCACCAAGAATACACTCATTTCTCCTTTTAAATAGCAGCTTCTTAGATTTGAATCTCAGACTATTACAACAGGAAAGGGCTCTGAAACACTTAGGTCCAACTCAATCACGTCGTCGTCGAGACACTAAGGGGCAGAGGGCTCAGGAGTTTCTGCGTGCTCAAGGTCACACCACTTTAAAGCGTCAGTGGGAGAGCTGAGTCTACGGCCTGTGTCTGGACTTCCCTTTCAGTCAGTGCCTGTTCTAGAATACCAGGCTGCCTGTACGTTTTATTTAAATTAAGTGTCATCATGTTTGTTTATTCAAAACCTGCGAATGAAATGGAAACTTAAACTCATGAAAATAATTTTCTGTTCTTTTTTAATGAAAAGAGTAGTCATTGAGTAAAGTCATTCTCCTTTCCTTCAGTTTTTACTTGTTTTTCTTCATTCTTGTTCCATGAAAGGCAGGCTCAAGATCCAGAAATTTGGCTGAAGCTGATTTTAGATGTTTGACTTCATCCAGGTGAATTTAGAAGGGAAAAAGGATTTACCAGAACGGAATTCACTTATTAATTTGCTTAACTGATAAGCATACATTTCCTTCCTCCCTTCCTTTTTTTTCTCCCTTCCTTCCTTCCTTCCTTAAGATTTTACTTATTTTTGGGACGCCTGGGTGGCTCAGTTGGTTGGACAACTGCCTTCGGCTCAGGTCATGATCCTGGAGTCCCGGGATTGAGTTCCGCATCGGACTCCCGGCTCCACGGGGAGTCTGCTTCTCTCTCTGACCTTCTCCCTCT